AATAGAATATATATTTTTCTAATTTGGCACACAATCCTATATTTCATAATTTTTGCAAGACTAATCTCATATGTTTGTCATGGACATACATTGGAAGATTCTTCGAATATTCTTCTAGAATATTCTCTAAAGATTCTCTAAAGATTCCTTTAGAAGGTTCTAGAAGATTCTTAGGATATTCCCTAAAGATTCTCTTAGAAGGTTCTAGAATATTCTGATAGATTTTAGGAAGTTACTCGAGAAGTTTCCTAATTAGTAGAAGTTGTTGGAGAAGCGTCCTAATTAGCAGAAGTAGCTCGAGAAGCTTCCTATTCAGTAGTATTTATAGGAGTCGAGGCTGAAGGGTTCTTTAGTCTCAACAACACATCTCTTGGAGTTCTAGCTCATCTTTCTGGTGTTGTTTTTGTACTCATCTGTTTAATCTAGTTCTGCCACTTCTTCTTGAACTTCTTGTTAGATTTCAAGTCTGTATTTTGTATCCGTGACAATGTTCTTCATATTCTTTAGAAGTCTTGGAATAAATTAAGATATAATCAAAATAATAGATAAAAAATTTATCCAAGAATTCTTCAAAAATATCATTCATCAAATGTTAGAATATAATTGGAGCATTTGTGAATAAAAAAGACATGACATTATATTCAAAATGTCCGTACTTTGACCAAAATGTTGTCTTCCATTCATCTCTTTTTTAATCCATATCAAATTGTATGCTCTTGGGAGATCTATTTTGATATATATTTTGACTTGACTAAATTGCTCCAAATGCCTCAATAACAATGGTAATAGGTCAGGATTTTTTACTATTATTTTATTGAGGTTATAATTACCAACATACATTTGTAAAGATCTATATTTTTTCTTCACAAAAAGTATTAGTGCACCTACTAGAGATTTGGAATGTTGAATAAAGTTCTTTGTAAGATTTTTATCAATATAATCCTTTAATGTCAAAAGCTTATTTTGTAATAGATTGTAGATTAGGCCAAATAGTGGTTGAGCCCTTTCTTAAAGTTTGATGGTGCAATTATATAGTTGATGCTTTGGCAATATATCAACATTCTTTTTTTGAAGACATCTTTAAATTTCTTATATTAATTTATGATAGCTACTAACAATCTTCCTTCTTCACAAGCTGAAGTTGCATAAATAAAAAAATTACATTTCTTTCTTAGCTATCTTCACAAAAATCTTTGTTCTAAAAAATAAGGGCTTTGTAGTTCATGACTTGTTGATAAGTTTTATTTGAAGGTTTTTTATAAGAAATTTAACCTTATAAAATTTCTAATCTATAGACGAATTATATCTTTTCAACTAAAAAAGTCCTAAAATGATAAGATTGGATGAGATTTTAATAGTATTGAATATTATTTTGCTACTATAGTCTTTAAATGATATTTCTAGTAGTATAGGCTTATAAGTAACATTGCCTAAAGATAAAAATCGACCATATATTACTTCTATATGTATAAGTTTTGACTTCTGTACTAGAAGAATTTTATTAAATTTGATAAATTTCTCATTTTAAAAGCAAGAAAATGCCTCTTAATCTAATAAAGAAGTTGCTTGAAGTTTTTGAGGGCCAAGAAATAAAGGTGTAATAAAACAACAAGTAAGTTGGATAAAAAAAGATGGATCCTAATAAACTTGAGATATTAGAATGTCTAGTTGCTTATTCTTTATTGTAGATAAACTTCTTTATTTTCTTGAATGATTGTACTTCTAAACTTAATTATACATTTTTTCTTTAGACACTTCTTAGATTTGTGGCCTCCTTTATCATAATTCATATATAGGTCTTATTCAAATCAATGCTTCTTTTTTTCTACTTTAAGATGTTTGAATTATATTTCATCAATTTGCATATCCTCAGTGCCAAAGTGTAGAAGCAATGTATTTATTAAAATAATAGAGTACAAATCTTTAATGTGTTGCTTTATAAAAGTCGATAAGCATTGATTGTAATGGCATTAGAATAATCAACTATTATACTTCACAGCTTGGCAGATGGCTTCATTGAATATTTGAGATTTAACTAATGATAATAATAAATTTTTAATATTTTTTTTTAGTCTTTAATAGAATTAATACATAAAAGCTTATTCATCCAAATTGATGTCGTAAGTCAATTGCTTAAAATTAGATATATAAATTGATATAGAGTATGAATTTTAAAGTAATAAGAAAATCTTTATTGTCATCTATTAAGCCTTTTCATGTTTTTCAAATGCCTCTACAAATAATTTTAAAAAAAACTTCAAAGTTGCTTAAGATTAGAGATTTCTTCTCAAATAAAGGAGCAATTTAAGATAAAGCTTTTCTTATAAGTAAGATTCCAACTAAATCAATTTGTAACTTTTTTGTTAGATAGTGCTCAAGTTGTAAAAAAGTTATAAATTAAATTTATTTAAGAAACCTTCAAAACTTAGAATGTGTACCATCAAACTTTTTTGGAAGATTAATTTGAAGCTCTTTATGCTATTGAATAGGTAAGTTTTCTTATTGAGGTATAAGTGCCATTGCCTCATTGCATATAGATACTTGAAGAGGTCGTTGTATTATAGGCTGAAGTATTTTAAGTCTTACATTACTATAAAAACTTGTAAAAATTCCTCAATTTTAATAATGCTACAAGATGAAGCATTCAACTTGTTTATAATAGCATCTAACTTGGATCATACTAACATCTTTACCTCTAGCTATTGTAAAAGAAAAAAAATTGAGTTTCTAAACAATTCTTCTTTAGAATAGAGTAATCTGCAATATCTAAAGTGCTTATGTGCCTTCAAGAAGATGGATGATCTACTCTATCAAAAAAGATCAAGCTCTAGTATTGATAAGAAGAAAGTCTTGACAAATTATCTTAAATATACTATACATAAGATCAAAAAAGAAGTTGAATAAAAAAATATCAACAAGAAAGCTAGCATAAATTTAATTAAACTAAATAAGTATAAGATCAACACTACAGAAGTTGAGCTAGAGCTCTAAGAGATGTATTGTCAAGATTGAGGATTCTCTCAGCCTTGACTTCCAATATATATTAGGTATTAGGAAGCTTCTAAAACCTTCTAAAATATTTTAGAAATATTTTTAGAAATATTTTTAAAATATTATAAAATATTCTGTTGAAATATTCTAAAATATATTATTGAAATATTCTAAAAATATTTTTAAAATAATCTTGTTAGATGTCCGTAACATCTTATAAAGATATAATATCAATTTTTTTTTTTTTTGAATAAATTCATTGGCTTTGAATTCTATTTTACATTTAGAACATTTAATTCTACATAATAATGTAAACAAAAAATGGTCACAATACAAGTTAACTATTTATTCTATAGTGATTTTAATCATATTTACAAGTATTTGTTGTATAAGAAAAAATTAATTTTTTATTTACCATGTTGAGTTATGTTCCAATTATATTACTTTGCACTATTGTAATTATCATATTTTTATATTGTACTTCTACAAGATATAAGTTAAATGTTTTCTTTTATTTCAAATCTTTAATTTTAAGATTTTCTAATAACTTTTCTATTTCTAATACAATTTATGTCATTCTTTAATTTTTAGTTTCTACTTTACAACAACTCTCAATATCTAATCTTAAAAGTTGATATATTTTCAACCTAAAATCATTCTTATGTACAGTTATATTTGGTTTTCTTATTCTATTTTAGAAGATAGCATTGAATAAATTAATTTATGTCAAATTTTTTATAATTTTTTTTTATAATTTTTTTATCATTAATAAATATATATAAAATAATTATTTATTCGTATTTACAAAATATATTTTTATTCAATTTTTAAACTTATATAACATAATCATATAATTTATGTTATAAGTTAAATTAATGTAATAATATGTATTTTTTATTTATATATTAAAGTATTTAAATTTATTTAAACAAGTTTTATTTTTATAGAGTTATATTTTTTGTATAAATTTTTTTTTATACATTAATTTTGTACATATACAAATGATATCTTATTTTTCATTTTATCTGTAAATTACTCTAATTTTTAATATATTTTAGTGTGTATTATGAAGAAAATTATAAATAAATAAATAAATAAAATATTACTAGTTTTTATTTATGATTTTATCAATTACAAAGACTTAGCATTTATTGCAAATTCTATTCTTTTAAAATAACTTATTTATTAGTTAAAATCTATATATTTATTTATGCTTGAGGTTTTATAAAGTATAGTTAATATAAATTTTATTGCAATATTAAACTATGTAATTTTTTTAATATTCTAATTCATGTTTTGATTCATACATAATTTGTTAGTTTAATCAATAAATGAATTTAGATTAAAATTTAAGAATATTCAAAAATATCAACTAGTGAAATGGGATCTGAATATGCAAGAATACCAACTATAATCAATGTAATAATAATTTGCTTGAATCTTATTGCATAATTGTGTCATATGTTTGGTCTCCTTAATTACAAACATAGCATTAAGAACATGTTAAAGACTACCTCTTTAAAAGTTCTAAGGAAAAAAAAAATATATATATATATATATATACATATATAATCCATGCATCACAATGCATATCATATTTTGTACATGTTTACAGTATTTTGCAATTAGACTTAAAAAAAATATAAAAATAAGAATATTTGCAAATATTATTATGTTAACAAAATACCAATAAAGTGATAATTATAATTTTATTTGTAGACATATGTATATTTCAGTGTTTTTGATATGTTCACAATTTTACATTTGAAATTCCAATAATTGATATCAAAGTGTTATTGAAGTGTTGCAATGGCAACAAATATTTTAAACAAAAAAAATTTGAGAAAATTTATAGTAAGAGGAAATTCTTTCAATTGTACGAGATAAAAGTCTAAATTCTCTATGATAAGAAGATATTCCAAAGCAAAAAAAATATTTTGATACGTTAATTTCATATATTAAAAATATTCAATACGAAGAATCAGAAATCATGTATATATAATCAATCCATCAATCAATCAAGTCTACTTCACATTTAAACTGTGCTTGAATAGCACATTCGTCGGTCTTCACCGATTTCTTCATCACATTAAAAAACAGTACTCCAGTGAAAATATCTCTGTCAAGATCAATGTAATGTTTTACGTGAAATTATAACACAACCTGTTCGTCATCTTCATCAAAATTGTATTGCTAAGAAAGAAAACTCTTAAGTATGTTCTGTCAGATGAAAATCCAAATAACATCAACCGATGGCAACCTGATTTTTGAGCCAAGCATTTTGAGCCAAGAACGCCTTCCAGGTACCGTATCGCGATCCAATTTGCCAAACACGGCCAGAGTTATGAAGCCAGGACGCATCGGCCTGCGGAACCTCCTACGCCTCTCCTTCGGCACGTTCCAACTGTAACCTACGCAATGCAGCCTAAGCAGCTCCAACCCAATTGGGAGACCTGATTAGGAGAGTGGCTGCTGCTCCAAAGCTTCCATGCTGGGGCCAATTTCAATGTTAGAGGCAACAAACACCATGTTGGCTTCACTAGGTCCAATACAAGGAGGCGTGGCACCAGAATGCACATTCCCGTCAGCAGGTAACACAGGCGAGCAGACGATCTTAGAAAGAACTGCAAATTATTGTAAATATGTGATTTCTGAGCAATAAGAATTTCTTGTTCTGGACATAGTCGCCGTCAAAGCCTTCTATCGCTCCTGCCACTGCAAAAAAGTATTTCAATCAAATGTGTAAAACCACCTTGAGTGTAATTATTGAAAGCCAAGGAGATATGAAAATTCAGATCGACAACGGCTGACAGAAAGCAGTATTTTCATTGCGTGCGAAGACAACTGTACTTTCGAGATTTCCTCGTTTGAAATGAAGTCGCCATTACGATTTCTGACATTACCTCCCTGCTCTGCTAAAAATATCTTGACGCTGTTAAAAGTAGGGGAACCTCTCAGATGTAAAATGGCGTTTTCTTTAATTAATCCAGCAGGATCCAAGTTTCTAGCAATCAAGTTCGAAGATGAGTATTCACTAAACTTTTCCAGTTCAGCAGTCACTTCTGGCACTTTAAACCCTAACAAGGTCAGAACATCCTTGAAAGCATGCCTCGATACCCTGAACTCCAAAACAAGCTGGTGTGATCAGATAAACATACTGAGTAAAAGCAATCTGCTTTTCGTCAATCTCCTGTTTCACGCAAACCGCACCAACATTGGGGATGATCGTGGTCTGCATCTTGGCATCAACTGACCTCCTTCAGCAATAACTCAATGAATTAGATTCTCTTCCATGTCTTGAAAAGAAACTCAGCAAAACACGGCTTGTGCTTAACACCGTACTTATGACCTTCCTCGTGATTTATACGGCAGACTGAGGAGAACTTGAACGTAACCATCGAACTGAGTGCTTGTGGTCCAAGGGAAACACTCAAGATCGCCTACTGAATGTAACCATCTAATTGAGGATCACCTACAATCCAGCTCGAAAATTCAATACATCCAGTATCGTAAGATCTGCAGAGAATTTTGAAGTAACGTCTACAATTCATGTCTAACGATGCCTACAGTCGACTCACTGCTTCTGTTATAGGCCCTCCTATCCTCTAATTTAGTAACTACACCTCCTGTAGGGAACAGAAAATTACATCTCATCGAACTAATCAAGGGACAATAGTCGAGTAATACTGCCTACACCAAATCACGAACATGAAAAACCACCTAATAGAGCAATCTTGCACAAAACTTTACAAAAATTAATACCCTGCGCGCAAATCCGTGATTACCAGCAACCATAACTGTGCTTCAAGCACTCTATCTGACCACTTGCGATTCGGAAAATGACGAATTATAATAGCACTCGGAAACTCCTCCCAGTTTCACAGGTGCTGAATTAGAATCTTAAGAAATACCTGATGCTAGAATTTTTCAGCGAAAAGAGAAAGAGCACTCCTCTCGATCCTTTCCTCGGCGTATATTTAGACAGATGATTCCATAGTCGAGAAAAATGTAGCACAGATAATTGTTTCCACTGTTTGAAATTTCGCATGCCACAACAATAAGAGTCAACACCAACCCCGCCCCTAACACCGAACCGCAATTAGATAGAAAGAGTATAGGCGCTCAACAGCAACGAGAGAAACTACGAATGCTCGAAGTACAGGAACTAACATGGTATTCAATCGATTTATGAATATTTTGATTACAACCATGATTTCAGATTTCAAAAATTCGAATTTTTTTTATTTAATCACACCAAAAATCTTTCATATTCTACCAAGCATCCATACAAGTTTATTAATAAGTTTTCGGACTCGCAGAGTAATTACCAAAAAAAAAAAAAAAAAAAAAAAAAGTTTCATCATCAAGCAAGCAAATGTTGAACAATATGATTGAACAGCTGTCAATACCTTCAAGAGCGAATGTCGAAGGATCAACAGAAAGTGTCAATCTTTCAAATTTCTTGCTGCAGTCAACCATTCACAATCTTCAGTTCGACATCTTGCGTGAGAATAACTGCAGTTCAGCTTTCGATCTGCTTGAATTGGCCATGTTTATAAAATGTACACCTTGACAGACGCTCTCGAAAGTCCAAACCGGAATGCGTGAGAAAACCACCAGAATCTGGGTGCGAGAGGACTTCAATTCACAGGCTCAGTATGTGCCTTGAATCCTTTGGAAAGTTAAGGAAGATTTTCGTTAGACTATCTACGAAGTGAAGAGGTAGATTGCTGGCTTCAAATCCAAACTCCGATTCAGCGCCTGTTTATTTGACGAAGAGGGAATGCGTACAAAATTCACGGAAATGGTGGCGTTTGTTGGTTGTCTGCTCAACCCTTCCTAATTAAGATGTTTCAGGTTTGATGAAGCTTCTTCCCTTTACTGCTTCAGGGTTCAAAGTCTACAAATGTGCTTTATATTTCTAAGGTGAACCTGGTGAAAGGTTCCTGACCGCATATCCTTGCAGCTCGGATGAGCAAAAAACTGCTGGTTCAAATCGTTCTCACTTTTAAGGTCTGCCAAAAGCTCGAGAGGAACAGGAATAGATTTTGTCGCTTCACATTCGATTCGGTGCCAGGAGACTTGTACAGAAAGGGTGGAGAAGGGCTCAAAGGATAGGAGATCCTGCTGGTGAGGGATCGTTTGAAGGAGAGAGAGAGTTAGGGATGCGTGCAGAGCGATCGACGTGTGTAAGATGGGCCTGGCATTAGGAAGTTACTGGTCATTAGCCTGAGCGCTCGCTTCAGCTGTTGTAGCCTGGTCCCACTAATGTTGTCCTGCGTCTTCAAAATCGGTTTTCAGATGGTTGCTTCTAAATTTGCCACGTAGTTCGTCACCTGTTCTGGAACTGACGTTTGAGAAGATGCTGATTATCTTGCTTGTAGTGGTGTGCAGGTTGTTGGAATACTATTTCGACTGAGTAGAAAGTGTAGGCGTTGAAGAACCAAGCGTGGACAGCAAAGACATGTGATGGATTTTGCAGTGGGCATGATGGTTTATTGGAATCTGATGGCTGGTTTTGGAGTAAAAACCATATGGTGTTAATGACCAGCAGTTAGTCTTGGTACAGATTCTCGGTGGTAATCATAGACTTGGCAGTGAAAGCAGAGCTCTTGAAATCGAATTATTGAGACCGGGACGAGAGGGTGTGATAAAGGAGCTTTTGTTACAAGATTGGACTTCATAATTTTTGTATGACCGTACAGAAGACTTGAAGTTTCTTCATTTGAATAAACGGACGACAACAGCGATTGGAAATACAGGAGGAATGCCGAGGGGAATTCAAAGAGGATTTCCAGTCTGAAATGTGCTTTTGACTGGGGCATGCTTCTGAGCTGCGAACAGTGGGTTGAGGACAAGAGTGTTTGCTGAACTCAAATTGTATGATTGAGGTCTTGTATGGGTGCTCAGGTTTCTATTTTTCTTTTACTGTAATCGTTGAGGGAGAAACGATTTGTCAGTAATTTGTGATCATCATCGTTATTATTTTCTCAAATATCTAGCTTGGACAGCCATGGCCTTATCAATGCATTTGATGAAGTCGCTTAAATTTAATGCCTCCGAATTTGGGGGCTTTGTTCCTGTGCCCAAGAGCTCGTTTGCGCTGGGTGCTCGTCCTCAGGTTAACGTTGATTCTCCGGCATCGATGCTGTCCCTCCGCGTTGTTCCTACAACATCTTTCTATCTTTCAAAAGCCAGCATCAACTCAACTACGTATCTTTCGCGGCTTGCGTATCGTCAATTTGGTGTTGATTATGTTTTGGTTGGTTGCCAGTCATCGAATGTGAAGAAGAAGAAATTAGTCTGTGATGCGGCATCATCGAGTGCGTCGTCTTCATCTGGGGATCAAGCATATTTTAACTCTTTTGCAATACTAGGCAGAAGTTTCTCGCTGAAAGACGTGCAATTTGTTTGCGCGGTTGTGGCCACGGTTCTGTTAGCGAGCGCCAATAAGATTCTGCATAAAATGGCTCTCGTACCTCTAAGTAAATATTCTTTGTTTTTGGCACAGTTCAACACAGTTATATATGTTGTTACTTATTCGACGATACTCCTAATGCGTTACCAATCAGGGATTGTCACAAAGGAGATGCTCTCTATTCCGAAGACAAGATTTATATTGGTTGGTGCCTTGGAGGCCTTAGGGCTCGCCATGAGTATGGCTTCTGCTTCAGTTCTTCCCGGCGCCATTATACCAGTTCTGACTCAGGTACTTGTAAACCAGCGTGTGATGTGCTTAACGATTATTGTCTCTTTTGAATTTCTGCAACGAATAATGGAAACAGCGTGTTTTAGCCTATCATGCTTTCAGCAGTGTTGATGAAAACGTATTTAGAATTCAGCCTTTGCATTTTTTTAGCATCCAAATTTAAAATCTAACACAATCTTATTTCAGGTATTTTTAGTTTGGCAACTTCTCCTTTCGTCGACCATTCTGAGAAAGCGCTATACATTTGGACAAGTTGGAGGCTGCTTGCTGGTCATTGCTGGTGTTGTGGTTGTGGTTGGAAGTGGATCGGGAGGGATTGGTGTGGACACATTACAGCAGTCTGGCTACTTTTGGCCTTGTATAATGATTTTCTCAACATTTTTCTTCGCTGCTTCGTCAATTTTGAAGGAGCTTGTGTTCCGAGATGGTGCCAAACAATTAAAAGGAGGAAATTTGGACCTCTTTGTTGTGAATACGTTTGGTTCACTTTTTCAGTCACTTTTTGTCTCCATGATCCTTCCAGTGGTGTTCAACGTTCGAGGAGTACCTTTTCATCAGGTTGGACAGAGTCTTAGTGAAGGTTACATGTGTTTCGTCAACTATGGTTCCAAAATCAGTGGCTGTGAAGGTGCTCCTTTAGTGCCTCTGCTGTATGTTGTAGTAAATATGTCTTTCAACATCTGTTCCCTTAGTTTATTGAAACATTATTCAGCCATAGTTTCTTCTCTTTGTTCAACACTGTCAATTCCCCTCGCAATTTGGGTTTTCACTTTCCCGTGGCCCTACTTGGGAGTTCCACCATCCTTACCGTCCGGTTTTTTTCTAGGTGCGGGCATTCTTGTGGTGGGCCTTGCTATTTACAGCTTATCAAAACCTGCTTAGGAGAAGGATCACAGGGATTGAGTTTAGTGGTTTGTGATAATTTCCAGGTACTGTAGAGATGTTAATGTTCTGGATTTTACAGATTCTCTACTGAACGAGGAATCCGTTTGAGGAGATAGTTGTGCGTTGGATGGTGGTTCGAATGACGATTGTCTCGCCAGCTCAGTTCGTGTGCAGGTGTCTGCGCTTTTAGTGCTGCCCGGTATTCACCTACAGCATGAGCCAAGCTGCCGACTACAGTTACGGCAACAAATTATCTGTAACGTGTTAGTGCAACTAAGAGGGCTACGACATTGAAAATAGATTGTAATTTGTGCAACTTTAACAGAAATGCGCTGAGAATTAGATATTATTGGGATCCAATGTGACCATACCAGCCTGCAACTGCTGCAATACGTTTTATCCTTGAAAGTTTATACTTCAGAATCCGTTTCGATTTGCTTCTTTTGAATTTCAAATTCCTCAACAATTTTCAACGCAAGATGCCTCAAGTTTTTTCTAGGGATAGCAACATTTATGATACTCCAATGGTACGAGTATCATTTTACAAATGCCGCAGTTCATATTGGTTGAAATTGTTACCACCATTATGCAACATTGTATCACCATTATATGGAATGAAATTCATGTCTCTAATCCTTCAGTTAGGCTTTCTGCAAAATTTTAGGCTTCATCCATGTCTGCAGAATCCTCTGAAATCCTCAATCTTATTATTTGAAGGTGGTGGGATATTGCTGAATTCATGATGTGACAACATAGTATCTTCACTTAATCAGTGGTCATGATGATGTGATATTTCTAGAGGTTGTGAGTCTGTTCCAACTAAATTTCAAGATTTGCCAAAGTGCTGAAGCACCCAGTTGAAGCTAGTGCTTTCACAATGGTCCTAGCTTCTGATGCTTCATAATTGCTTGTTACTGCAAACTCCGATCAAGTTAAAATCAAGGAATTAACAAATTTGTGACATTTCGAGATTAGGAATTTCAATTTTTAATTTAACTATTCATAACTTCATGCATATCAAACTTGTGTCTCTCAATTAACCCATTATGAATCTCCCTGTCATAATTATAATCAAGTGTTATTGCTTGCTTGAGGTAAATGATGTAACCCTAAGTTATCAATTGTCTAATTTTGTAAAATATTTATTGAGCTTGGTCAAGGTTGCACCTTTTTACTTCATCCGTCCAATGCTCATGCGTATATATAGATATAAGGTAGCCGATCCATTGTCAACCACACTTATATTTTTAATCTATAGAATGTCCTATTTCAACTAGGTCAGCAACCTATTATCCACATGGCATTTTGTCGTCAATAATAGATGGGGACTGAGCGTAAATGGGTTAAAATTTGATCAAAATAAATTTTTAGCTACTAGCTAAAAAATAATTTTTGCATCAATGGATATGGACATACACATTAATTGTTGTTAGATTGGCAGCTAACTTCGTTTGTGCTCATGGAGTAGTTGGTATCCAAGCTTCTAATATTCAAAACTTCATTAGTCACATAGCAAAAATCGATATACAAGTGGTTTTTAATAAAATGAAGGTAGTTTGTGTTACTTCTCTGTAATCAAGGTTAGTGACAATTTCATTCATTGTGAAGCAAGTGCAAGAGAGAAGTGAGTGAATTCTTGGTTTTGAAGTACTTTAGAGTTGTAAGCTTGGAAAACAATGTAGCAATATATCATAGAGAAAGATATTGCCTTAAAAAAATATGAAGCCTTTGGCTCCTATTAATTGCCTTATTTTTTTATAAAAAATTTCATAATATACACAACACTTAATAAAAAAAAATTCTTTATAAATTCTCTTACTCTTTATATTCTCAACAAGCTCTTTAATTAAACATTTATAAAACAAATACAAGAAAGTCCAAAATCTTCTTTGAAAGTCTTTATATTTCTTTTAAAAGAAGATTGCTATCCTTTTAAAATCCTAAATCTTACTTTCAAATCCTAAATCCTAAATTTTATTTATTTGAAGTTTGTTTATTTAAAACAACAAAAAATTGGATTGAAGATTTCAAAAGATTGATATCATCATACTTTAGCTACCACCAACTTATAGCTTCTTTTTTTTTAGAGGAAGCTAAATATCAATCCATCATAAAAATAAATATATAAAAGATATAGGTATTACATACTACTATTAAAAGAAATTTATTACTCCTACTACCATGTGATAATACAACTATATGGTAAAAAATAAAAATATGGATGTTATTATAGAAGAGCCTAGTAGAAAGATGTAATAGAAAAATAATGATAAATTATAAAAAGATAGTAAAAAGTTTAGTCTCAATGATATTTTTTATAAAAGGGACTTCTATTTATTTTTTAGAAGTATAAATGAGCCAAATTAAAATAAATAAGATAAAAAAAAATTAATACAATCATATTTAAGAGAGACTTAAAAATGAGTTAAAGCAAAAATTACCACAAATTACCAAACATTGATATTTGGAGAGGATTGGTTGTCATCCTAGATCAAAATCAGATCCTAAGGGACAAAACTACACATCTATAGTAATTCTAGGATTCTTTTGCAAATCAAAAAGAGAAATTTGAAAAAAGATTTTATATGATTATTTAGAGCATTAGTTTTAAGAAATTTGAGTTTGTAATTACTTTGTAAAAGCTTTGCAAAGTTAGGGTTGATTTGGATGACTTTGGATTTTGTGAAATAAAATAGAGTTTAGAATTTGGACAATTTTGTAAGCTACATAGTAGATCTATAAGTGGAATTCTGTGGATTTATGAATTTTTGTATACTAAACATATATTGTAAATTTGAGCTTGATCAAATAGTTAGGTTAAAGGCTATTGAAGTTCAAGTTGATTAGAGTCTCAAAAATTAGATTTTTAGGTTAGTAAGATTATCTTAGATTTTCAAAAATTTGTCTACTAGATTGAAGTAATTTTTGATGGAGCTAATAGTTGAGTTACCTTCCAATACTTAAATTAATTTTGAGAGAAATTTAACAATTCAATTAGGAATAATTATTATTCGAAGATCAATATTAAGGTCAAAGATAGAGATCAATTGATACCTAAGTGGATTATGATGTTTTTTTTCTCATTTTGCAAGTTCGATTTCCTTCAAAATTATTGTGCTTATTTTTAACTAAGGAATTGACAAGTATATAAAATTTTAAGCAAGATCAATGGTTTAATCAATAGATATTGAGATTCTAAAATTATTCTAGGATTGATTTAAAATAGTTATATTTTGGTTAGGATTTATTTAGGAATTGATTAGAATTTGTTTTGGAATTTCGAATTTGATAAAGATTTTTTAAGGATTTCATTAAGATTAAACTAAATTTTTATTAGAATTTTATTAGGGTTTGATTAAAATTCTTTATGGTTCATTTAGGATTTCTTTTGGATTTCATTAAGGTTCTTTTTGGATTTCTTTTGGATTTTTTAGGATTTCATTAGAATTTGATTAAATTTTCATTAGAAATTCATTAGGATTTGATTAGGATTTTTTATGGTTTCTTTAAGATTTCTTTAAGATTTCTTTAGGATTTCATTAAAATTTCTTCAAGATTTTATTAGGTTTGACTAAGTTTTCATTAAGATTTCATTAGGATTTTATTAGGATTCTTTATGGTTTCTTTAAATTTTCTTTTAAAAATTTCTTTTGAATTTTTTTAGAATTTCTTTAAAAAAAATTTAGGATCTATTTGTGTTTTTTAAATAATTTATTTAAAAATTTAATTAAACTTGATCAATATTTGATTATATTTATTAATATTTAATTAAAATCAATATGTGATTCTATTATAATTATTAAGACTAGTTGTTGTAAATTTCTTTTATTTTCTATAGTCAAGTATTTGGTGCATTTTTAAGAAAAACATCATATAATATGAGACTATTATCATCCTATAATATAATTATATGGTGAAAATATAATCAAAAATAAATTTATAATTAATATCTAATTATCGTGGTTCTATAATAATTCAAGACATTTAAATATGGCTTTTATAAAATACTTCTTTGTTTATTTTTTTGTCTTAATAGCTAGTAGATTAAAGGTTGATTAATAAATTTTACCTTCTTGGCTATAGAAATTCTTTAAGTGTCTTAGCAAGACCATAAAATTGATAAAAACAAGGTGGAAGAGATAAATAATTAGTATAATTGATACTAGCATTAAATTTAGGATAGGATCGAGCTAAACAATTTCTAGGATAAGTTGGATTGATATCCAAGGATTAATCGTTTGTAAGATAGGATCAAAATTAGACCTCTAGCCACTAAAATGGCTACCTAGCGCAAAGTATGAAAAATTTGAAGATAAGAGATTAAGGTGGAAGAACTAACTTTAAACTTCTTTTAAAAGTACAAGGTTTATTTTTATAGAATTTAGAATAATTTTATAATTTTTTGTTATGGATATACATAGATACTCTAGTAAATATCTATATAATTAGATAGAAGTAAGTAAAAGTAGATAATAATAGGTTAATTTTATGATATCTTCTAGAAAAGCTTCCTAGAAGATTCATAGATATTGCTTTGAATTTATATATATTTTTAGTTAATTAGTAGGTTAGAAACTTACTCAACAAGTTAGTCCTATATTGATAGCTTACAGAACAAGCTCACTATATGGTGCTCATATAGAAAACATGCCTTACAAGTTAAGATACATGTTTTACAAAATCAACATATTTTAAAGGTCTTATAGGATATTTCTATTCAACTCCTAGTTAAAAGTATATATAAAGGCAAAAATAAAGCCTTCTTTATTTATGTCAACACTTTTTTAGTCCTTAGTCTTATTTCAAGACTTTTTAATCTTTTTATTTTTAAAAATAGCCATTTGAGTTTAATATTATAATATCTTTGAGTAACTTTCTATTTCTTTTCAATAATATAAGAGTGTATTGATGATTTCTTTCTTTGAGATTCATATCTTTAATAATTTGACAAGAATACTAACTTAATCTTTTTGTCTTGTTTTAGAAGTGAGTGGATTATTCCACTTCTATTGTTGTGTTTTGAAGATTGCGGACTATCTACTTTTAAATAAAAAAATCTTATTTTTAAATATTAATATTTTTTTAAAGAGAGTGGATTATCTTAATTTTTAGATATTTTTACTTGGTATTAGAGGTTGGAGATTATTCTTCTCTAATTTAAATTTTTGAATTTATTTGACTTATTTATAGAAGGAAAGATTATGGATGCTACTCTTAGTGGAAGTGAGAATAGATTTGCAATTATTGCAGATCTTTATAAACTTGTCAACACTCTAATAATCAAAATCTTACATATTTTCAATGTGAATTATAGAAGTACTATGCCTACATCTATGGAAGAAGTTCAAAGTCTATCATAAGTTGTTTTGTTGAAAGAAGCAAGTAGATTAATCTCGCAACCAAATCTAAAGAATTTTGCTTCTATAAGTATGATAGAGACAAGGATTAATATGCCTAAGAAGTTTGATAGAACAAGATCAAAATTTCAAGGATTTTTGCAATAAGTCAAGCTTTATCTAAGATTGCATTCCTTCCAATACTCTAATGGATTTACTTAGATCAAATTTATACATGCACTTCTATCAAAAAGTGCTCTCTCATAATTTGCACCTTTAATAGAAAAGAATTTATAATTCTATTATCATTTGAATCCATTCT